TAAAGCATTTGCTAAAGCAAAGGAAAAGAGCTATACAGAAGAGCGATTCTGAATCTCACGCTCGTTTACAAGACCAGATAAACAAGCTAATTCGAGAGAACCAGTTAAATGCCGTCAAACAAGAGAACAAAAATCAGAAAACCGGATCAAAACAGTGGTGGTCCAATGTGAACAGTATTACAGGAAGAAATAATCGGAGTTGATCTGTCAGTGCAGCCTTTGATCCTAGTGAGATAAATGTATACTTTCAAAGTATAAACTCGGATCCTCAGTACGCGGCTCCAGAACCTGTCGAGATCCCTGATGGCACCAGGGTTCCTTCGCTCTCTATAAATACTACTCTACACCTTCTACAAAATCTAAAACGAACAGCATCCGGGCCAGATGATCTACCTTACTGGTTTTGGAAGGAATTTGCATTTAAGCTTGCTCCTACCATAACAAATATATTTAACACTTCATTGAAACTTAGCAAAGTTCCTAAAATGTGGAAACATGCAAATGTACTACCAGTACCTAAACAATCTATCTTAAACTCTCTTAATCAACTAAGACCAATCTCTTTAACAGATACTATAATGAGATTATTTGAAAGAAGTGTGTTCAAAACTGAGATAGCACATGTTACAAGACACGCTATTGATTCAGATCAGTTTGCATACAAGGAAGGTCACAATTCGATTATGGCTCTGATCAAGTGCCAACACACATGGTTAAGATGGTTAGAAGGAGATGCAAAATATGTCAGAGTATTATCTATTGACTTTCGCAAAGCATTCGATAGCGTTCCACACGATATTTTATGTGAGAAGCTTAAGAAGCTCCCCATCAACCCATATGTTACTAATTGGCTGATTAGTTTTATGGAGGATAGGAAACAGAGGGTAGTGGTTGATGGAATAGAAACTGAATACTTGAACATTAATCGAGGTGTTCCCCAAGGAACAGTTCTGGGTCCTGTCCTCTTTTCGATCATGGTGAATGACATCAAAACAGTTAACCCCATAAACCAGTTAGTTAAGTTCGCGGATGACATGACATTAGAAGTACCAGGGAATGAAAACGAAGATACATCCCAAGCCGAAGTGGACAGTATACAAACATAGTCTGAAAATAATCGAATGTCCTTAAATATGGAAAAGACGTATGAAATGATTGTTAGGAGAAATATCCCTACGCTGTTGCCTGATCCTTTTCCATTTATTAAACGAAGGACGTGGTTAAAGATTTTAGGAATTACATTACAGGATCTCCCTTCCAAGTGGGATTTGCATTTTGATGAAATGTTGAAAAAAGCCAGTGCAAGAATGTACATTATGCGTGTCTGTAAATACTATGGCTTCCCAATCAAACAACTGGACATGCTGTTTAACACTTTAATTATGCCTATAATCACTTACGGCATAGAACTTTGGGGAGGCGCATACTTCAATAAATACATTAGTCAAATAGACAAATTCATCAATCGCGCTCACAGAAATGGTTACATATCGGAAAAATTGAATATTAAGGAGATAAGCATCAAAAGGGAGAAGAAACTTTGGGATAAAGTAATACATAATAAAGATAATGCACTACAGGAGCTTTTACCAGATAAATTAAATAGACACCTTAGGCCAAGGGGACACGAGTTTGAACTTCCATTAGTGAGAACAGAGCGATTTAAAAGTTCTTTTGTAAATCGATGTTTGTTTAATTAACTTTGTTTAACCAATTTTAACCTTTACCTTTTTAACATTATTAATATTTTTATCCATAACTGGATATATCTAGTTATTACCTTATAGATATCAATAATTTTATCTTATATATTTTTATAATGTAAACTCACAGACGGGTGTTCTTGAGTATGAATAAAGACTGTTATTATTATTATTATACGAGGATATCCCTGACGACCTCATAGCACTTAGTGGTTATAAAATTTCTCGTAATGATCGGTCTCGCGCACGCGGAGGCGGTGTTTGTATTTACTCGTCCGAAAATATTCCCTGCCAACGAAGGCTAGACGTGGAGAATTCAAGCTTCGAGTGTTTGTGGCTTTGGCTTCGTCCCGAACGCTTACCCAGACCCTTGTCGGGGATTGCTGTTTGTCTTATCTGCAACCCCCCAGATCGTTCAGCTCAAGAGCTTCGTGATCTTGACGAGTACTGACTGCTTGCGTAATAAATATCCGGATTGTGGAATCGTTATTCTTGGAGATTTCAACAACTTTGATTTACATAATCTAGCATCCAACCATAGCTTAAAGCAAGTTGTCCATTTACCTACCAGATGGTCTGCTATCCTTGAACTTATTGCAACCAATTTGCATAACTTGTACGAGAAGCCGTATATACTGGCTCCGCTTAGCACTTCGGAGCATAACATAGTTCACTTGCTCCCTCTTACTAAGGATGCCAAAAATACTCTGACTCCCAAACATAAGCCCATAAAGCACTTGGTGAGACGTTATCCTCGGTCTGGAATTGAGGTTTTCGGACGTTGGGGCTTGCTCAAAAAATTGGTTTGACGAACTTAGCGACAATCCAGGGACGGATGAATTGGTTACCTCCTTTTCACCACAAGTGACCAATGCTCTTAATAACATCTTCCCACTAAAGACAGTGAAATTACATCACACCGACAAACCTTGGATAACCCTTTCAATCAAGCAACTTATTAAAGATCGTCAAAAAGCCTTCTATAGAGGTGAGAAGCAACAATGGCAACTATTGAAGTGCAAAGTGCAATCAGAAATAAAACAGACGAAAGAAATGTTCTATAATCATAAGATTCAGCATCTTCGTAAAGATGATTGTCGAAAGTGGTGGAATGCTGTAAATAAAATGCCCAGAAGATCAAGAAAGAACGCGAGCTTCAGTCTCGAGCGTGACGGGAAAATCTTATCTGATTCTGAATTGGCGAACAGTCTTAACAGTTCCTATACATCTGTTAATGCAGATATCCCTCCACTTGATTGTTCAGTACTACCTGCATTCCTACCCGCTCCTGACACATCACCTATAATCGAACCTTACCAAGTTTATAAAAAAAACTTTGTACTCTTCAATCTTTCAAAGCATGTAGCCCTGATAATATTACACTTCGCATATTAAAGGAATTTGCTCACGAGTTTGCAGAACCCGTTCCAACTATCTTTAACACATCTTTAACCTCTGGAACATTTCCTGCTGCCTGGAAAGATTCGTGCGTTTCCCCAATTCCATAAGTGCCACAACCGACTTGTGAAGGAGATACTCGATCAATCTCTCTCACCCCTTGTCTTTCCAAAGTGAATGAATGAATGAATGAATAGTTTGTTTAATAAAAACATCATCTGGCAGTCAGAAGACTGAATTAAATGACGTTAAGTGTTACAAGGTTATAAATAGTAAAAAATTCTATATTACAATGCAATTTAAAAATTGTTAATATATACTATATATCATATACTTGAATGTACTAATCTATATGAGTTAAAAATTCTAAAATGTTCAAGGAACATCTAATTTGTAATGTTTCTTAGCATAAAAGTTGATAAAAGAGTTTCCGAAACGATTTGTATTTGCTGGTAAAACTTCAAAAGATCTTTCTTTTCGTAATTCTCTATTGCCTGCTTTGGATGGTAAAAGTTTGGCAAGTTTATGATCATCATTTAAAACAATGTCGTTGAAAAGATTATTGGATAGATACTCCCGTCTGTTTTCAAAAGTGGAAATACCAGCGATGTTAAGAGCCTCGTCGTAAGACAATTCATAGAATATTATTTTCATTGCTCGCTTCTGTATACGTTCAATGTTTTTTGCAAGATTTCGTGGCAGGGAACTATGGAATAATTGGCACGCATATTCGAGGACAGACCTTATACAGCTGCAAAAAAATTTGACCAAATCTGCCGAAGCGACATCAGCACGTTTGAGTTGCCTCAACAAATATAAACGTTTAGCTGCTTTGGAGACAATTGAATTTACATGATCTATCCATTTAAGGTCATTTCTTAATATAACTCCAAGCGATTTGATACTTGTCACTCTTTCCAAATTTCGGTCACCAATACGTATAGGTTCAAAAACAGGTGGTAATCGTGAAAAGGATATTACCATTTCTTTGCATTTAAATGGGTTTAGTTGAAAGGAATTGTCCATAGACCAAATAGTAATATCATCGATATCCATTTGTAAAGTACTTTGTTCGTTTTTTTCAACAATTTCAGAGACCGTAGTATCGTCGGCAAATTTCCACATTTCTGAAAGGTGATTATGTAACACAAGGTCATTTATCATGGCTAAGAATAGCCAAGGCCCAAGTCGTGTGCCTTGAGGGACACCAGCTGGAACTTGGAGCCAGTCTGAGAAACAATTATCACTTAGTTTGACCCTTTGCCATCTATTACGTAAAAAGTCAATAATCCAGTTAACCACACAGGGCTTAATACCAAGGCTGAATAATTTCGCAACTAATGTGGTGTGATCCACCATGTCAAATGCTTTTTTATAGTCAAGAAATACAGTGCGAACAGATGAACCACTTCCATCTGTTGCACTCGACCAACAATGGAGCATCGATATCAAGGCAAGTACAGTGGAAGAATTTGGAATAAAGCCAAATTGTTGGGGATCAACAACCTTTAACAGAGTTGGTTTTACTTCTCTTTCGATTACAAGACGTTCCGCTATCTTTGATAGAGTGGAAGTTAAAGGAAATAGGTCGTAATTCCCTTTCCAAGTCTTTGACAGTAGATGTTTTTGGTAAGGGGACCACATCGGCCAGCTTCCAAATTTGAGGGACTTTACAGCTTTGAAAGGAAGAATTGATTATATTTGCAACTGGTGAGGCGAGAATATCCGAATAGGTTTTTAAAACCCAATTGGAAATACCGTCAGGGCCACTGGAACGCGATGTATTAATTTCTTGCAATTTTCTAGCTATAGTTCACTCGGTCACAATAATAGGCGTTTCATCGTTGTGTACAATTACAGCCGTATCTTCAGATAATGGAACATAGTTCGGTATCACATTTATAAAAACATTTTAATTTTATTACTGAGGTTTATGTCTGTCTCCTGCCATAAATCTTGATGGAGGCGGTCTTTTACACTTTTGTTGTTTAGTTTAGATGTGCCACACAACTGCTTCACTTCCCGCCACCAATCTCGGGGGTTAGTGTTACGTAAATTATGAACTTTAGATTGATAATAGCTCTTACGACAACGTTTTCGTTCACGATTAACTTTATTACGTAACATTTTAAAAAGAGTGACATTACCAGATGCAAAGGCTTTTTGTCGACGATTTATCAGTGATTTCAGATTGCTATTAACCCATGGTCGATCATTAGGGTGGACTTTTATTGAACGTTCAGGCATAATTAAGTTCAAACCATAGTTTATAATGCTAGTTAAAAAGTATAGTTTTTGATCATTTGAGGGTATGGACGATAAAATGTCCCATGGAATTTCCTGGAGAAATCGACCAAGACTTCTAATATTACTGGGTCGCTTGTCTCTTGTTTTAACAATACGCGATTGTGGTTCGTGCGATCTTTTCCTCGTTCCAGGACACATGGCAATTGTTAGATGGTGTGATAAGCCAAATGGAGGAGCACTAGTAGGAGGTGAATAGTATTCGAATAGATTGGAATAAATTTGGTCAAGAATATTGGCACCTCTGGTGGGAAAATCAATTACTGGTTTTAGTTGAAAAGGTTTAACAGTAGCCTGTAAGTCCAATTTGTTGAAATCACCAGCAATAATGATTGCAGAGATCGGAAGAGAAGATTCAATATATTCTAATGAAGATTGGACATAGTCACGCATACTTGTACAATCGGCATCTGGAGGGTGGTACACAACAGCTATTATCATATTTGAGTAATTTCGTGGGAGTCGTTTTGGTTGTAAAGCTAGCCACAATACTTCGTGATTATCACTATCTAACTCCGTTAGGCGGCTGCAAGAAATGGTATTGTTAATATAAAAACAAACCCCACCATGGGATTTGTGTTGACGATCACGCCTGAATAATTGGTAATTTGTAATATTAATAGCTTCATCTGGAACGGATTCTTT